ACAGGTGAAACACCACATCCACAATTACCACAAATGGGAAAGAATTCCTTCTGCAGCAATAGCAAAACATGGAGCACCACTGCAATTATTCATAGGATATGATGGTTGCCCAGTACCATAATTAGCTGCAGAATATTCATTAATTCTTCAACTAATTCACTTGGGGAAAAAAAAACGCATCGAAGTGGTGGACTGTGCATCTCCTTTTTTCTAAAAAAAGCTAAAATGCATGTTTTATTTAGTTCCCAAAGTTTCTTTTGCAGGAGGTTTAATCTGTTCCTAAAAGAGCTAAAGACGGAACACAAAGCAACTACTTCATTTTGTGACATTGATGCTGGAGCCTCTGAGCTCAGCAGTCATTACAAATTCAGTATTGGAGCCACTTACTTGATAGCAGACAGTTGGAAGTGGAGGATTAAGGGATGTCAGGAGCCAGGTCTGAGGCTAATTCTCAGTAGCCTGCCTCATTCTTCGCCCTTGAACATTTAAAACACATCATTTTTCTTACCAAGACCTATGACCAAGAAGAGCAGCTAAACTCAAGCATTACTGTGCCTCAACTCCAGACGTCTCTGCTCAGAGCGTGGATGCAGATATGGGCGGTGACATCAGGTTGTACAGATGCACCTCCTGGATCATACACGCATCAAGAACAACCACACTGCAACTCTCAAAAAAAAAAAATCCCCCAAGCACGGCATCCTGGCTGCACTGCCGCACAGGCAGGACCACAGGGTACAAAGCAGAAACGAACAACGACAATAACTGCAGGAGCAGCAGCGCACCAGAAACCTATCGCAAAAGGCACTAAACCTCTATTCCTGAAGCCAAGACATTGCCCAAAGTTTTTGTGTTTTGCTGAAGCCAAACATCTCCCTTCTTCCTCCTCCTCTACAAATGGAGCTCATTTATTTGCTGTTGGCATTTAGGGGTTTTCACTTCGTCACCTCACTTGGTCCTGTGAGAAGGGAGGCTGCATAGGATGCAGCTTCCAAATACCCGTACATCGCTTTTATCAACCTGACAGCATCTAAAGGACAGAAAGTGTTTGTCACAGCCTGACTTCTTCTCCAGCCACCACAGTTTTTAGAGGACTATTTTACCACATCCTCAAGCCCAGCCATCGTCCCTCTGCCACTTCCCCCGGGAGATTACATCCCCGCTAATTACTCTCACTGTCAGGAAGCTGCTTCCTCAGCGGAGCTGTGGCAGCTCAGTGAATGATTGTGAAAGTTTTGCTTCGTCTTGGTCAGGCTCTCTCCTTTAGCACAGACATGCTGATCTATCAAATGGATAAAAGGACCTGGAAAAAAAACCACAACAGAAGCTGAGGCAGAGGGAGAAGAAACCATTCCACGCCTAAACCTGGCCGAGAGCGATCAGATAGCATGGGCTCAGAATAAAGCAAAGTTGTTGCATACCCCTTAGCCTTTGCTAAACAGCTTACTGTTCATTCTAGACATGTATATGCTGCCTTTCATCCAAAGAGAACTGGAATAGCTTATCATCAAGAGAGAAATCAGTTCAGCCCCTCCAGATCGCACCCTGTGGGTGGGAGGGTTTGCTGAGCAAACTCCAAGGGGCTTCAGTACCATTTTGCATGACGCAAGGTTTGCCTGCCTACGGCAAGGCTCCTGCAGCAGCCCGGGCAGATGTGCAGGGCTGGAGCTGCTCTACAGATGAGGAAGGCAGAGCAGATGTGAGTTAACCCTCCCCAAAAGGGGGCTGGCAGCTGAGCAAGGCACCAAGAGCCCCCCTCCTCCCTCAGGAGTGCAAACACAGTCTATTCTACTATACAAAATTCATAGTGAGCTGTGACTGCCACGTGCTCATCTCATGGCTGCTAAATATTTACAAGCCGATTACGACAACCAAATTTATCACTTTAGCCCTCAGCCAAGTTTGGAAGGATTCAAATATTTATTCTGACTAGGGGGTCTACCCCCTGGCACGCTTCCTCTCCCCCACCTTGCTTCCCTCTCGAGCAGAAGATCGAGCATTTTCGGTCTGCACCCCTCTCCCTGGGCAATACATTGCTGTTTGCTTTAATAATTTCTCTGGCTTGCTTGCAAAGAGTTTCTATCCAACAGCAGCTGGAGTGGGGACACCATGTGTGCGCTCAGCATTCCCATGAAGGAGCCGGTGGGTCAGGAGGCAGACGGGATGCACACTGAACATCCTTTGCAGCGTGGCACACAAAGCAACACTGTCGGCATCTGTTATTTGGGCCAGGCCCTTGGAGCAGGGGAGCCGCAACTGGGAACAGGGATGAACTTTGCCAAGTGAATCATTTCTTCCCCATCCCACCCTTTTGGCAAAGCCGGCACCACCTTCCACTTCCAACAAAGGGCATTTGCAGTGCTCGGCTGGGGAAGGGACGTGATCCTTTCCTTCCAAGCTGTCCCCAGTCAGAGAGACTAGCTGAGCAGTCACCCATGGCCCAGAGCGATGCTAGCTCAGCCTCTGCCACAGATCCCATCTGTCCGTGGACATAAACAGGTCCATCCCCGAGTCGCTGGTGCCCCGAACAGACACACCTACTGCTGACAAGGCCAGTGGGCAAAATCCTCAGCTTGTTTGCTACAGCTGCGTGTTGCACAGAGCTGCACATGTATCACTTTCCTCCTCAGTTGCCTGCACAAAGACTATTAAAATTAACAGAATAATGCATATAAATCTGCCATTGTTTCCCCTCAACACAGAAGAGCCAAATCATTGCTAACGGGGTGGCTCAACAAGGTTTTATATTAGCCTGGTAAATTCAGAGGCTGCAAGTTGCATCTAATTCAGAGCAGCTGCATTATCCCATTCAGGGAACTAATTAAACCTCCAACAACAGCACTACATTTATGTTTAAATCTCATTGTTGCCATTATGACCAGCCAGATCAGGCCCTTTCTGCACATACAAATCACTGCAAAAAAACCCCTAAACGTTCCCCACAGGTGCATCTTCACCATTTCTTACCAATCATAGGAGTCTGCATTAGGATATTTTATAGCAAGAACTGGCCTGACTATATAAACTACTATCAGCAGCTGCCTTTTATGCTGCTTCTATAGAAAATTGCTCTGCCCTGTGAACCGTGCCCCTCCTGCCGACAGCATCAAAGAGCGTAACCGTTGCACCAGGAGTCAGAATGAGACCCCAAATGCCTCTATACAGTCTTTGGAAATGAAAGAGCAAATCAAGCTAAAGGCAGTGAATCACCAGCTGCTGGCTTGTCCCCCTTCTTATGAGAATATTTAACTTTACCTAGTGTTTTTCAGTGGGAACAAAAACATTCTACAAAAGAGGCTATTGCTATCTCACAGATGGGGAAACTGAGGCAGAGAGGAGAAACCTTTGTCCAGAATCATTCAAGCTGGTCTGTGACAGCCATGAGACCCCAAGGCCCCCAGTCAGTGCTCTGGCCACAGGATGCTACTACCAGATTAAAGCAATTCCACAAAATGTTCAAATTACACCAGAAACCAGGAAGACAAATAAAATCATTAGGTTTAGATAGTATGATTTTTTTTAAGTTAGACCTGTCCCGTTGTAGACAGATGTGAATTTTTCACATTCTTTCTTTGATTTCCTCACCTAAAGATAATGGGAAGGAAAACCAGATTTTTCTCTTGTGGCTTGTTAGGCTGACACCAGGTGGAAATGATGCTTCTTGTTTACAAGCAGGGAAGCAGATCTGCGGGTTCATTTCTCTGAGCAGAGGAAGCACAGGCACACTAACGCTTGACCTCTGCTACTAGTAAAGTCGCACAGCACTGTAAAGCCGAAGGCTCCTTCCCTTTCAATGTTTGCTGTAAACAGTTCGGTTAGGCATGAAAAGCACAGTGAAAATTATCTGGTCCTTTCAAATAAGCCTTCTGCTGCAAAATCTTTCACTCACAGTCATAGTACAACTGACCCAGGTAATTAACAGCAAAGCCTCTACAACCAAAGCAGCTATAGAGGAACACAGATGTATTTGGCAACCCTAAAGCACTGCAGGGAGTGAGAGTATGAACTGAAAGATGGGCTCATACTGAGGAGGGATTCCCACTTCACTTTTAGCATCTTTGAATACCTCCCTCTTCCACAAAAGATGATTTTTATCTCCGAGTCAGGATCAGAGAGGCAGCTGAGCATCAGTCAGTGCACAGAGGAGAGATGAGCAGGGGCACAACCGTCCCATGAGTTTACACGCCTGGCACGCACAGCTCCACGCCCCCAGCACCACGCCAGGGGTTTTATTTCCTCTCGGTGTACAAAGAGTGGTTCATCCGAGCTTATCTCTTCTGCAGCGCTGCTGCTCTACCAGCAGAGAATCATCTCCAAAGAATGTTTCAGTAATGCTGCGGTGCTGAATTTCAGAGGGACACTTAATCTCGCCTGAGTGGTTCACTAGGGCCAACTTTCTGAGCATGAAATATTTAACTATCCGTGGGCCTCCTGTACTATAATAAAGTGACTTCTAACAAGCCTCTGAAATAAACATGTGAAGAGGAAAGCGGGAGCTATTAAACACACAAAACAGTCTAATTACTCTCTTCCTTCCATGCCCATGAACCCAGGACACTGCTTACCCCCCAAGCAGCAGGGACCCAGAAACAAAACATCTCCTCCGGATGCTGGGAGAGTCCACAAGGGAAAAATTGGAAAGAGGTCGACAAAAATTTGTGAGGCGCACTGTTATCAACTCTCCGTCATTCTGGGGATGTAAAAACTTATCTGGCTTGCCTAAAAGAAATCAAGCCCCATATTTGAGCAACTTAAAAAACTTTGAAAAGCCCCCTACTTCTTGCAATTCTGCTTCTCCCCCAATCCAGTTAAGCCTATCTTTTGGCATTTAACACCTCAAAGACTTACAAGTGAGCATTTGCCCATTAATGTGATGTGAGAGTTAGTAAAAGTGGTGAAAACCACCCAGGACCCCCTCCAAAGGCCAGTGCGGTAGAGAGGAGCTCATGCTGTACAATTTCATTCCTGGCACAGAAGCTCTTAAGCAAGGTCAGCCTTACCTCATCCCACTCTGAAGCAAAGGAGGGGGACTTCTCCAGCCTCTTCTTCCCAGTGCTGCAGTTTGAGAGCGATTCACTTCGGCTCCCCATGGCATCGTCCTCTGTTGGAGAGCAGGTCAGAAGATCGGAGTCCGATTTGGACAAGCTGCGACTGAGTTTAAGCTCAGCTTTGGGCTTGCTCCCTGGGTGGGCTCTACCCACAGCTCTGTCCCCCTCTTCCTCAGCACCGCCGGGGTGCTGTAGCACGTGGGGCGTGACTACAGTTTCAGGATCCGCCCGGTTGACGTGCGCGTGCTGGATGGTTGCGTAGACCACTTTCTGGTTTTGGTCTGGAGAGCTGGTCCGTACTGATCCAGAAGCAGGTAAGTCAGCATCCTCCAGCTGCATAGCAGGTGGGTGGCTTGTAGCTTCTGTGCCTCCTTTCTCCGTGGAGGAAACAAGCCTGAAAGGGTCCTCACTTATCTCACAGATCGGGGAAGAACCATGAAGCAACCCTGAAAACTGCTCTGGAACCTGGATGTCCTGGCCGTCGGCAGAGTCCTGGCTGCGGCTGCCCCCGCCCCCCCCGTGGGCTTCAAGGGGGTGAAAACAGGGGGGGGGGGGTTAA